CAGTCCTTGAAGTTGCAAGGTGATATCTCCGTGGACTGGGCTTGTTTTTTTTACCAGCGAACCCCACAGATGCTCGATCGAACTGAGGGAATGTGGAGGCCAAGTCAACACCTTGAACTCCGTTGTGTTCCTCAAACCACTCCTGAAGGATTCTGCTGAAAGAGCTCACTCAGGGACTAGTGTGTGGTCTGCACACGTCAAAGTAACATCCACATGAATGCCAGGAGCCAGACGCTCATGCACCCAGCTGTCCGCATGATGTAAAAGAAAAACACCATCTTCTCCATCGTCCAGTTCTTCCATTCTGCAGCTACACAGCCCCACATGCAGCATCTGATCCCTTTCCATCATCGCCAGCATTGAGGGTTTCAGTAATTCGTGCTGCTGTAGCTCCTCTGTAGGATCCACGTGGGCCACCTTCTGCCCCACACATGCATCAAACTGCCGTAGGCGTCCATGACCTTGTCTTCAACTGTTGTCCTACCTTCAGCCACTTTCGGTGACCCCCGAGCACCCCACAAGACCTGCCGTTTCGGAGACGTCCTGACCCCGAACGTCCAAACGTGGCCCCCGGCAAAGTCACTCCTATTTCTCCTGCTTCCAACGACTGACTGCTCACTTGCTGCCAGATAGTTCTCAGCCCTCGACAGGTGCCTCTGTGACGAGATAATCAATGTTATTCACTTCACCTGTCGGCGGTCTAAATGTTGTGTCTGTCCTGCGTCACGGCTAAACACCAGAGAAAACTGAAGGTTACAGTTCAGGCGTCATAAAAACAACAAAAAAAATGTGTACAATTGATTTTATTTTTATGTCTGGATTGGCTTGGCACTCGGTGTGCCCATTCAGGCTCCCAGGAAGCAGAGGCTGATTGATTCCGGTGACCCTCTGACACGACCCCTCAGAACCCAGCAAAACTTCTCAAAGTCTCCAAAATCTCCGAAAGTAGCTGCCGGATTGGCATTTAATTCCATCTGCACATTCACATTCCCGACAGGACCAGACGTATTGATCAGCCCTGACCCGCGTGACCTTTTGCTCTCTGGCACTATCGGGCCAAAACTTTCAATTTCAGTCCTCTGACCCCGAAGACAAAGCTGGAAATACCTTCAGCCAGCATCAGGACGGCGTCATTTTCGAACTCCTTAATCTCCTAAACCTCGAGTTTCTCTTTCTCGTTTACGACTGACGCCACACAAGACGCAATAAGAACTGCAAGGATTTTTTTTCTCCAGCAAGCACTTAGTGATTTATTATTTCATTATTCACGCGCACGCTCTTTCTGTATGAAAAATAAAATCACCATGTCTCATTCCGTCTATGAGCTTTTTTACATCGTTCGGGGATGCTCTAGTTCCAAAGGCTATTTGAATGCTGATGGATTTATTGGCAATAAATCAAGACAGTCAGACAACGCCAGCTTTCCCTCTGCCAATATGATTCAGTCACTGAATCTGTGATTTCTTCAGGGCATTTCTTTATTGCACCATATGACTTCATATGCCGAGCCGCCGTCCAATAAAGCGGCAGTACCTGCGAGTGAGAAAATGTGTAGGTTTCGTGCGGCGCTTCGCACGAGGAACAGTTGTCATTATTTTTTTTATTGCTAAATCGCCGTGTCCTTGAATGGTAACTCCGCCGATTAATCTCCGCGCTAAATCGCAATCAAGCTACGTGCGCTGTGTATTATCTGCCTATAAAGCCTTCACACAGCAGACACGGTGACCTGTTAAACACCTCGGCTCGGCGGGTCGGCATTAATCATGTCAGCGTGCTGTTAAAAGTGTGCCAACGTTTTTCAGCTACACCTGCAGTCATCGAACGCTTTGGCATATCACGTGCGTATCAAAGAGACGAGGATCTTTTCGGTTAATTAAAACGCTTTTCTTTGTTCATTCTTAACCCCCGTTTATACGGCAAACACCCATTAACCTGTTCAGCAAACGAGCCAATGAAAATATGAGCGAAGTACTGAGAGGAGGGGGAAACAAAAAGAAAGATCTGAATCCTGTTATCACAGATTTGGTGTCGCTAAGCCGCCTCAAACAATGACGACCGCTGAAGGCTGGTGACAGGCAGGTACGAGAATACTAAAAATACAAAATGCTGCAGCTGCCGAACATTGAGCTGATGTTTCTCTTTTCCTTCCTTCCTTTCTTGTTTCAATCGCTTGTCTTTCCCAGCATTCGGCTGAGTCAGACCTCCCACATAAAAGTGGCTTATTGTCAGAGTAAGAGGGGAGTTATGGGCTGGATAAGAGGGAGGTGGAAGTAAAGATATAAACGGCGAAGGGATTTCGTCAGTATCAGCTCCCTGAAAGCGGCTTGTATCGCTCTCCCCCCTTGTTGGAATGACTTCTTAGCGACCCCGCTCCTTCCTCTGAGGTCCTGATCCGTGAAAAGTTCTGACAGCACCGGAGGCCAAAGGCTCGGCGGCACCTACCTGACCAGACTGCTCCTCGTATACATTCCTTTCCCCTCCCCTCGCAGCGCCGGCTTAAACAATGCAAATATAATCAGAGTATTGCTATTTTGGTGCCGCCAGATCTGAGTCACGAGTTAATAAGGCAGCACATTCCATCCCAGTGGGTATTTGAGATATTTCATTTCAAGGAACGGCTCATATCAAAATTTGATAGGCATGGCATTTTGCTGCCTGCAGTGGAGTTCATAATCCTATAAACAGGACACAGACAGACCTTTGTCAAGGTGCTTCCTGGGTCTAAAAATATGTCTCTTTCCACTTATATCTGAAATAACACCGTCACAGCTCCTTATGAATCCTTATTTGTATGTTTTGCATTCGCTTGTGTTGCGTACGAACCGGTTTAATTGGTCAGAATGAGTCCGGACCGCATTCTTTTGTTACGACAACACCAAGAACCCGACAACCAGACACCGCTGAAATCTGATTCATGGGACAAGCTCGTGTGTTCGTTTAGCCAAGAATGCAACCCCTGCAGCAACGCTAGAAATTGGCACGGATCAAGTATTCAAGTTGTGTCGCCGCAGCTACGGGCCGGCGAAGCGAGACTACGCTGCGATGTGTCGTCTGAAAGGAACGCCGCGCCTCCTCCGTAGTCGACTGGATGTATGTTAGGGAGCTCAGCGTTTGCTCAAGGGCGGCTAAGAAGTGCATTACTGCAAATCTGACACCGAAAGGTCGCCGAGGTCAGGAGTTCTCAAAAGTAATAACTTCAAGGACTCGTCTTAAGCGTGCCAGACTGAAACAGCGTGTCTAAATGTTTCGACTCCCACGCCTACATTTTATATCCCTCTGAGCAAATTAGCTGTGCTCTTCTGTTGTTTGCACTGTGAAAACAGTTTGAAAGTTGTTTTCCACTGTCTACATATTGGGTTATATTACAGGCAGCAGGGCTGTTGGGATATAAATTATCATGTTAATATGACATCTATGATAATAATGTAAATAATCCAAGTAACTATTTGGTTCTCCATCTCCCTGCATTAGCATTTTTAGTGTAATTCATTCATAGATATCATGCTAATATAGTTAGCGATGGTGAAAATCTCACATTGTGACATCCCTAATCTAAAAAAATCTATTGCATGTATACACAGCTTCATTGCATCTTGCCCTTCAGTGCATGCTGCAGGTCTTTTTGCATATTCCAAACTGCACAGTTAATCCCGATAAACTAACTGACACATAGTGAACATGGGGCTATTGCACCTTAGTGGGCACCTATGACTATCCTGATGGAGTAACAACTCAGTCACCATCAAGGTGGTGATGATGTTTGTTCAACACAGTGTCTAGTCTGACGGCCTGCAAACTCAATTTTGGTTCCATCGGACCAAAGAACCTGGTGGCCTCCCTCACGACTCCTCTTCTTGCAGTCACTTAGTGTTTTTAGGGACGGCCTGATCTAAGGCGGACACATACATGTGCCTTATTCCTTCTATTTCTTGACAGTGAATATTGTTTGTACTTCAAGATGTACGCCTGTTACACGTATGTTGATATTCTATTAAAAACCTGGATTAGCATGAATATTCTTACAACCACAAACTGAACTGTACCTGGAAGAGAAGCCTGGTATCATTTGTTTTTCCAAATAAATAACAAATAAATACATTTAAAAAGAAGATATATACTTGAAAATGTTCTACTATGCCTTCTCTGATTTGTGCTTTTTAACAAGGTGCTGCACTACAATCACCCGATACATTCACCTCACTCGGATGATATCGATTTCACTAGCGTCAATTATAAGAAGGCAAAAACTTACACAATTATTATAGGTTTTATATTTTTAATTAATTAACATTATGTTGTAGAAATCTGATGTCACTTTGATGTTAAAGAGTCTTTTTTGGTAAATTATTGTACAAAAAAGCTAAATTAAATTGACAATGAATACATTTTTGAAAGCTATAAAGAGGGAGAAAATTTCAAATACTTATGCAATTATTTATTTAATACTGTATATTTGTAGAAATCTATTCTCACTTTGGCATTAAGAGTCTTTTATTTGGTAAATTATTGTCAAAAACTAAACATTTAATTGACCATGATTTAATTTTGAAAAGCTACAAAAGGGGACAAAATTTCAAGGGGGATGAATATTAATGCAATTATTTATTTTATGCTGTATATTTGTAGAAATCTGTTGTCATTTTGGCATCAAATCGTCTTTTTTGGGTAAATTCTTGTCCAAAAAAACTGCATTAAATTAACTATGATGTAATGTTTACAAATAATATAACAGGGAAACTTCCAAGTGGATAAATACTTTGTCACAGTAACCATAACCAAATGCGTAATGGTTGCTATCCACATTTTTCACCAATTCAACCGGTTTGCGCCATGTTTCCGTGACTTTCCCGGCTGTGTTGTGGTGTGATCTGAGCTGGGGGCCAGGCCTGACATCCCAGGCCGAGGTGTCAGGGGCAACCAGCAAGCGGCGCTTCAGTCCCAGCTCAACTCTCGGAGCCGCTACGGCAGAAAATGTCCAGAGAGGATCGAGTTACTCTACGCCCCATCTTTAAGCCCCAGCCAGTGCGCCGTTAGCCGCAGGACAGCACGGAGCAGCGCAGAGGAAGCCGCCCCACGCTCATGTAAGTAAGCCGCCGTTTTCCGACGCGTTTCACTCGAGGAAAGACGATTTCGCAATAAAACAACAAGTTGAGCTTCGGGAAGAGGCGCCTTTGTTCGCTCCGGAGCCGCTAATGGGAGCAGGACAGTGGGGAGGGGGGGAGCCTGCTGTCGCCGCGGGTCACCGAGCGCACAAACACGCACCGAAACAGCTCCAAGAGCCTCCTGTTTGCCCACAAAGTGTATTTTACGCGTCGCAAATGAGCCACCGTGCGCGTTTTCCGTTAAACCGCAGACCGGGGATTGTGCGTAACTTCTCCTTCTCGGAAGCCTGTTGCTTTCTGGCTCCATGGATGAGCTCAGATGAAGGAGGAGGAGTTGAGAAAAGCGGATTGTCCCAAGTGCTGGATTCAAAATACGAGCAAACCAGGGCTGGATTTAGCAGCCTGTTAACAAACGTCTTATAAACACAGCGAACAGTCCACCGGGGCGACGCTGCTGCTGCTGCTGGAGGGTCTGTGGAGGCAACACGTCTAATAACGACCTCCCTGTGTCGGTGTCTGTGGCCGCAGCAAAGCTATGCGTCCATAATTAGCTGTTTTCAGAAGAAAATTAGGCATTAAAGGCGACATAGTTTGGTCTGAAGTCCAACAGGCCTTCTGTGAATCATTACAGGCATTAGAGGTCCCTGAACGCACCATCCAGTATTCACAGCACACACAGGAATATCTGATAAAGCACACTGTAAATAAAATAAAATAAAATAAAAAAAAAGTCTGTTATTTTACAGGTTTTAACCAAAAGAAAAAAAAGGAAAAACAAGGGCAAAGAAAAAAAAAAAAAAAAATGACTATGCTAACTATAAAAATGTAATTGTTTTGCCATGTCTGATCATAAAATCAGGTTTTAATATAATTATCTTGCATTTTTTTAATGTTATTTGAAAAATAAATGCTATGTTTAAAAATTGTTCAACAAAACAAATAAAATTGCACAAATTTTCTAGCAAAACCTAAAGAAGAAACAGACCAAAGCTGCACATAATATCCACGTCAAAAATCTGATTTATTTTTTATTATTATTATTTTTTTTACAACTTGTTTATTGTAGTTCATTCTACAGTGTCTGATCATATAATTAAACTGCTTATTGTATTAGATGAGTTTAAAATTGAACTATTTTAAAGATGGTTGTCATTATTTGGAAGAAAAATTATGTTTATTTAGGATTTTTAAAAAAAAGTTTACCAGATTTAACAGATCTTTGTTTTGTAATATTACAGATAATTTCTGGTAAAACAAAACAAAACAAAAATTGGCATAAAGAATAAAATAAAATAAATCAAGCACATTTGGATTGAAAAATGCTAAAAAAAATTTTTTTTAGTTATTTTACAGATATTTCCTGTTTTGTTTAAAAAAAAAAATCTAAAAAATATATTACAAAAAAATATTACAAAACCTAGGTCAAAAGTGTCCACATCAAATATTTGCATTTTTGTATTTTTTTTAATATTATTGTTATTTTTTATTTTTTTTTAATTTGTGACCAAACTTAGCCTGTTTACTGTATTTTTTTTTTTAAAGATTACATGTTAACTGTTAAAAAGCAGGTTACAACTCTATTAACATCAAAAAATCTGTATTTTCTTTATGTAGCTTGTTCCTTTCCAACATGTGACCATTAAATTAGCCGTTCTACTGCATGTAAATCAGCTAAAACATCACTACTTTACTGATATTTGCTGTTATTTTCACCGTTCTGACAGATTTTAAACACAGTACCGCTGTTTTTAATCTATTCTCTCTGCTGTCTTTGCTGCCAGATTTTCTTTTACACTGCAGTTTGTAATATTACAGCAATTTGTTAGACAGAGCCGCATGTTTACGCCCGTGCACACAAACAAAACAATAACTTACACATCTGCATACATACGACCACATACGGTATTTCCACCATCGCTCACAATGAAAGATACAAACACGAGCGAATGTAAGGAACATAAACAAAGCAGTGCTGCTGCCGTGATCCTGCTGCCACATACTGCAGCTATTCTGAGAGTCTATACAGGCCTTTAATTATGCCAGCGATCTCCTTTAATCGTGTAATGTCTCCCTGACTCATGTCATGCCTGCAACAAAGCCACTGCCAGCGTCAGGCGTGACGTTCCCTGCATGGGAGCTGACAGGCACCTTAAAGGCGCCTTAAAAGTGGAATATAAAAGACATAACCACCTTCAAACGATACGGCGGAGCATCAAGGCGGCAGAGATCTTTATGATCTCTGTGACATACTGCCTTTGTTTAAGGAGGTCTTCGTCGTTATTAATTAATCTGTTGATTCACTTCTCGATTAGTTTGATCTGTAAAATGTCAGAAAAAGCTGAAAAATGGCCAAAAAAGCCCAAAATGACGCCATCAGATGTCCCGTTTTGTCCAAAGATAGTCGGATTACTGTCACAAAGGAGGAAAGAACCAGAAAATAATCAAATTTGAGAAGCTGGAATCAGAAAATGTAAACGTTTTACTGACAAACTGATGTCGGTATCAACAGTCAGCTTCACTTTAGTTAACAGTGTGAAGTATTTCTTTGGGTTTTTCTCACTTTTCTGAATTAATCATGTATTTTTATGGCAGAATATAAATGTAAGCAGTGTATTTGTTCTCATGTTTAACAAAACTTTTACATTTGGAGCCAGGAGTCATGAAAAAAAGAGAAAATTCAGTGTATCAGGATATATCTTTTTAACAAAGCAAATAAAAGTCTCTGAATTTAAGGGGAAAAAAACATAAAAATACCTGCAGCTGCATAGTTTAAAGCTGATATCAGCAGGGTGTTACGCTAGTTTTAAACAAACTGATAAGATCGGCCACTTGCTTACATAAATTTATTAGTAATCAGGGTGTTGTTTCAGGGAGAACTATGACTGGTTCCTCCCGTCTGAAGCCAGCTGTGTGGACGCTTCATGCATATTTTAAAACCGCTGCCAAAGTTACCGCGGTCGCAGGAATGCAGGCTACCTGATTTCAGTCCACCGGTGGCACCGAGAACTAACGAGCTACAGTAGATGTGCGATCAAACGGGCTGCTGGCAGCCAGAGCCGCCGGACCGGGACAGTTCTGCAGCACAATGGCCACTCTGTGATGCTTATTGTGACGCATTCTTCGGGGGACGGAGAGCGAATAAGCCCGTTTTGTTTTTGAATGTAGGAAGGAGTTAAGTTCAGATGAGCCTCTGAATTAGATGTTCTCTGATTGCTAAAAACACACTTTTGTTTTTCAGGCCGTGAAAAAAGGGGACAGAACTCACCTGGATTTAAAAGAAAATGATAGAAACAATGGGTAAGTAATCATATTTTATTGTTTCCCTGCTGCCAGATACACCTCAGCCGGCGTATTATTCATTATGAGGAGGAACAGAATTGAGTAAATGATAATAATTAAGTTTTATAATCAGTTTGTGCCTCAGGTTTGCATCTGCTGTATTTATGAAATGTTTTTTTTTCCCGTCTCCTAAATCATTCCCTAATTGAAGTGCCCAGCTTTGGAGTCAAATGTTGCCATGATAACAGGATTCAGACTCCAGCACCAACACTCGGTTTAATTAAGATTCAATATTACTATAATAAACAAGATAAAACGCCAACTGAATTTTTATTTTTTTTTTTAAATGAGCAGTTTTTACAGAGGGGGGTTTGGTGCAGGCAGTCGGTCGGGTGTTTGTCTTCGCTGGCTCGGCGTCGCACATTTGGCTCCTGCTGGGAGTTTTCTCAACCAGCGTAAGAGGCCCTGGATCCGGTTCAAGGCCCGCGGACTGCCAATGTTGCCATATCTGATAATGTTGCCATAAATTTGATTGTTTGTTTGTCCCCGCGGAGATTTATTTGTCCAACTGTCGAGCGGGACGCCAAATTGGTGCTGCCAGCTTCTTTTTCTTTTAACGCCGCAATCTGTGGTCACTCTCGGGGGGGGCTGGCCGGCGGTAATGTGCAGGTTCGACGGGAACCCGAGAGGTCAGAGAGGTCGTCGGTTCACGCTGGAGCTTGTATTTTACAGAAAGCCGGCTTGGAATTATCGAATTTGATCCCTGGACTGGAGCGAAAATTGCTAAATTTTGATGCAAGTGAAGTAAAAAAGAATGAAACAGGAAAAGAAAAATGTGAGTGTTATTGGCCGGTTTACAACCTTTGTTCAAAACAACAAAGCATCACGAAAAAAAAAAAAAAAGCGCTCTGGACCTTGTGCACGCCCTATTAGGTGTTAGTCACAGTTGGTGAGCTTTGGAAATTGCTTCATTTTTGCCCAGATGACGTCTGTCTGGCCCATCCTCACTAACAAGCCACTCCGGAGTTACTCGATTGTAGAGCTTATGCAGGGTCCAGCAAGCAAACCGTGGACTTCTTTTATCTGTATTTTTTTTCCCCCCTCTCCTCCTGATAACTATTCCACGCTCCTGTGCGAACCCACCATTGACCCTCAAGGCAAATAAAAAAAAAAAAAAAAAGGCGGAAACATTGCTATTCCGAGAACAAACAGCGCGTTGAAAATGGAGTTTTCGAAAACCTGTGGCTACGTGATTCTGATATCGTAAGGTCTGTTGAGCACCAGTCAGCCTTAGCTAAGCCCGGCCTGTGATACGCCGCTCTCCTCCTCTGCGCTTTTATTTACCAGCCATTGTTAAAAATAAGCCTGTGTGTTATTAAAGGCGGAATTAATGGGAGCATTCGAATAAACAGGGTCACAGCCCCCCTTTTCCTGCAGCTATCTGTTGCTTGTGTCCACATCACCTCTCCTCACCTCTATCTCCTTTCCTCCCTGCGTTCGCGCCTCCTCTCCGGCCCGGCGCCGTCACTGAAATATGCGACGGCTTGCAGATACGCAGCGTGCCTTGCAGGCGGTGGAGCGTCTCCAGGCCAAGCTGAAGGAGCGGGGGGAGGTGCCCACGGAGGAGAAGCTCAGCCTGCTCAGGTCGGTGCTCCAGAGCCCCCTCTTCCACCAGATCCTGGCCTTGCAGAAGTCTGTGCAGCATCTGAAAGAGCAGGTAAACAGACTCTCCTGTTATTTATGTTGCTGCTCCGGATGGATTTTGGTGTCACACATCTTTGCTGAAAAGCCACATTATTTTTTTAAGACATAAGAAGAATGGAGTATTTACCCTCCTAAGCCTGGATGGCCTCGAGTGTGATCGTTCGGTTAAATTAGAGTGACGGTGATGAATTCAAATGAGCGATCCGGGGTTCACTCAGACTTGTGCGTTATTACTATAAACCACCCAGATGGCAGCGTCATAATATTGTTAGCGCAGGATGAATGCAGTTAGAATGAAAAATAAGTGAGAAATTTTTCACTGGGATGGGGAGGGGCCGAGGCAGGAGGAAGGGCGAGATAAGGTGACGCTCGTAATTCTTGTGCACCCACGTGGTTCCAGTGCATTCTCTTTGTTTTGGTTGCATTTTCTGTATAGATGCAATATTATGAAGCTGTGACAAAAACAGTCACCCCATAATGCGTTAAGCTAAACCTGACCCACCTGCATCACCTAAACATCAGCGCTCCCATCTCCATACTCTGCAGGGTTTCCTCTGCCTCTGTTTCCTGGGTGACCTCACTTGATTCTGTTTCTGGCTCATGTCAAGAAGACACCCTCCCCGCCTCCCGTCCCCGACGCTGTTTGCTGCTGCTGCTGTGGCCAAATTGCTGTCAGGGTTCACGCAAGCCAGACATAATATGGGTACATGAGCAGAGATAGTTGGTCTAAGTCAGGGACTGCTTCTATTTTTTTTTCTTTCCAAAGCTGATTCTCCCCCATTGAGACTTGAACACTGGAGTGGAAGGAAAGAGCTCTTAAGTCACAGTGGAAAGGGGCCAGGGTAAGCGTTTGAGAAATAGAGGCGAAAATATGCGAGCTATGCAGTGGGAGGCAGGGATGCTGGAGCTGTTTTACCCCTCGTGGAATTTAGATTATAAAAGCCCTGGTGGCATTTTTGTGCGCCGGCGATATAATTTATTTCAAAAAAAAAAAAAAAGAGAGGAGCATTCCCATGTACGCATGTGTGCTGATGGATGTGTTTGTTTCATCACGCAGCCATTCGTCTCAAATTCCCTCCAGAGCCTAAAATGAACCCGTTCTTGTGCTGCGACGGCGGCAAAAGAGGCACATTTTCAGAGAGCCTCCGTACCGGTCGGCCCCCTTAAGCACAACCAATTTGGAGAGACTGTGTTTTTGTTGCGAGACAAGAGCCAGACGCACAAACACACACACTCCGTCCGTCTTCTGGCTCTTCTAGTTAGGCCTGAGCTCGGCGCAGGTCGCTATGGCGACGAGGCCCCTGCTCTCCAATGAGAAAGAGGCCGCCGCCGCCGCCGTGTGAAGTGGGGCAGAAACAATTTCTTAAATGTGCAAGAACCAAACTGGAACTTTAATCCTCTTAGCCAGGCCCCAGCTAACAAAGCTCATGCATGAGGACAGCAACTTAGCAGCATGCTACGCTAACTTAGCCTGGCCCATAGGGTTTTGTTTGCAGCGTGCAGCGCTAATGTGTCCTGTCCAATGGAGTTATGTTTTCCCGAGGACTAATCCGGGACTGTATTCAAATGAAGCGTGATTTACAGTAAATGTTTTCTAACCTCTGAAAGTTGTTGCCGTCAACTTCCTAATGCAAATTCACAAGTTCACAAGGACAGCTTTCGCTTGGCAACGCCATATGCCAAATGGAGTGTTTGTGAAATTATTGCTGTGCATTATGTCCGTCCTTTTGAATCCAATTCAGACGGCCATAAACATTACACCCTTTGGCTAATGAAATCGGGAAAACACTGTTTTATGTAGTTGTCGCATTCATGTAATTCATCTGTCACACAAGTAAAGTCATTGCAGTAATTAAAACCCGAGCATATTAAGGCATCCAGATGGCCGCTGACGCTTCTCCCCACCATGATAAAAAGATTGTATTTGGAGCGTAGTCATTGTTGGAACATCAGCTAAGAGCCATTATCTCCTGAAGGATTAGGCTGCCATAGATCCAGCTAATCACGGTGGGATGACAAACTGCGTGCCATTCCAGTGGTTTTCGACACCCAGAATCAGGGGTTTCGGTGTCTGAAATTAAACTCGCTAAGTGTTTGCGTTCACAATAGGAACGAGGCGTGATGGGTTTTATTTATACTTTTAATTGTCTTTTGTTGGATTGCAGCCAGCTGCTGTGTGCAAGAATCCCTTTGCGGAAATTCAAAGCCGTTATGTCGTGTTCAAATTTAAAGCCTAACAGACGGCGCCGCAACTTCCATAATGGAGGTTGAGAGTCATTCTCACTGTTGTTTGCCTCCATGTGCATGTGTTGAGGTGAAAATGCATGAGCCTCTAGTTTTTAACATCATTCACAGCATGTTTTCTTTACATTTACCAGGGGACTGTCCCGGCAACAAGAGGAAGTGACCTCAGCGACAACGGCACAGCGGTCAAGCCCAACGGCAGCCATGTTTCCTACTCGGACGTCCCGGCTGCGACGCAAATCAACGGCAAGACGCCATCCGAAGAGTTTGAGACCGTCATTCGTTCCATGGCACAGGTAACTGAGGCGATTACTGTGCTTACTATATGTGAATGAAGCAATACACCAGGCCTGTAAACAGCTTTTACACTCCTTGGAAAATGTCCTCTTTTATTGCTTTTCAACACTGAATCATAGTCGATTTATTGTGGCTTTTTTGAAAAGATTTGCAAAGGAGACAAAAAAAAAAAAGGCTTTTTCATAGCAAACTGAAAACAGCTTTCTACAAAGTATGTCAATTACTTTTAAAGTGGCTCACCTGGATATAACTACACCATGAAGACAAAACAAAAACACTCCAGACAACTCTGAGAAAAGGGTTTTTGAAAATGGATGCAAGAAAAAAAAAATAAAAATCCAAGTCACTGAATATCCTTTAAATACAGTTAAATCCACCATGAAGAAACCGAATGAATGTGGCACGTGCTTAAATCCGGCTACAGCAGACGGTTCTCAAAAACTGAATAACAGCAAGAAAAGAGACGAGCGAGGGAGTCCACCATGATTCCTCTGAAGGAGCTGCAAGCTTCAGGGGTGGAGATAGGAGAAGCTGTGCATATAACAGTCGTCAAAGCTTTGTAGGAGGGTGGCAAGAGGCAGCTACTGTTGGAAAAAGTTCACACTGAATCTGGACTAGAGTTCACAAGAAGGCATGTGGGAGACTCTGAAGTCAACCAGAGGACAGGTAGCTCCGTCTGATGAGACGAAATTATGATTTTTGTCATTAGATTCAACGCTATGTTTAGTGACACCAAACATCACAAAGATA